TTCAGGGTTAAGGTTTAAGGTTTGGTGTTTAATGTCTAGGGTCTAGGAATTAGGGTTAGGGTTTCAGGTTTTGGGGTGTTGGGTTTAGGCATTCGAATTTTTGCTTGAGGGTCTAAGCTTGATGGGGCGCTTAGCGTTTGGAGTTGAGCCTTCAGGATTCACGTTTTAGGGCTTCAACGATACGTTGGGATATTGCTACAGCACCTAAGTTTCCATTTTCCTTCTTGTGTCGAAAAATCGAACTACCAACAGTTATACGCAATAATGACCCGAGCTTAGGCTTCGTGCTTCAGGATCTGAAAAAAAACTCCCGAATTCAGGGGCTCTTGCCTGTCAAGCCCTATACCCAAGCCCCCATAATCCTTTGAGCGTATATGACCCTCGCACCCTCTATAACCCTATGTATCCCTATAACCCTATATAACCCTATATAACTTTGCATAGCCCTGTTTGCCCTTTTACAATCCTTGTACCCTTCTTGATTTCCCAAACCCCTAGCCCTACCTCGGTCACCCAAGTGTCTGCGGCCGGCTTTAACTCCAGCAGGCGCTGGCCAACAGCGATAAAGTAGGGTGACAAGTCCACACCGACAAGCCGCGAGGCCTATAGGGCTGGGTATGGTGCTAGGGTTATATAAGCTCAAATAGGATAATCTGGGGTAGGGCTGCTGGGTTTGGGAGCTTGGAATTTAGGTTTAGGGTTGGTGGATTTGGGAAATAGAATTCAGAGGGCAGGTTTTTTGTAGGAGGTTTCGAGAGCACTGCGCAACTTACATTCACAGTAGCAGGAACATGAACAGTAGCGTTTGGGATGACGCTTTAAGCAAGTAAACCTCTAAACTCTGAAGGCACCAGCATCATTCCTAGCATCTCAGCGAGATTTCTGAAGGATTAAAGGGATGCTTCTACAGTCCCCTTGAGCAGATAGAATATGGGGTGTATGCAGATCTTATTACAATCTACCCAAAGCCATATTCTATACTTCACGCGATAGCAACCCCAAAATGTGATAATAATTCGGCCACTCATGAACCCGCTGCTCTAAACCTGGAACCCCAAACACTGCAGCCTAAAACCAAAAACCCCTAAATGAAAGCCCCGAACCTTAAGCCCTAAAGCCGAAAACCCAAACCATATGAGCTATAGTCTCAACTCCTAATATCCCCCGTAATAAGCCCTGTAGTAGTCCCCTATATGATCCCCTATAGAACCTCCTTTTGGGAGTTTAGACTATAGCTCATGTACACCAACAGTGCAGGGAAGCTACCAGGCCTGGGGAAAGCGCGTAGCCAGCCTCCTAGTGCTGAGACCTGTCCTGCAACAGAATTAATCAATAAGGGGACATAGATGTTTTTTGGGGACAATCTTTGTTTTTTGTGGGTGTGGTTTAGGGCTCAGTGTTTAGGCTTTAGGGATATTACCCTCCAATAACGGAGAGTCAAATGGAAAAAAATGCAAAATGAAATGGGAACTAGGGGTATCATGGAGGAGGACAATGCCATTCATCGTGCCCTGATTGGCTTCGAAGAATGATGAAAAGGAAAACTGTTGCCCAACCATGACCCAATGTCCCGCAGCCCAAATCTATCATAACACCACCCTCAGGGACGGTGGCCCCAAGGGAGTCTAAGGCGTTGTCGAAAGCAGCTCGGAAAGCATCCTCGCCATCCTTCCCATATGCCGGGAAGTTTCTGGCACCTGGGCAACTAAAGCAATAAAGCCGTGTTTGAGGATCACTTTTGGGGTACCACCTCCATGTTCTGCCCCCAAACCCTAAACCTTCTGTTGATAGGGGCACAGTGGGCAGGGTGAGATCCAAGACTTTAAGTTTGCACCCTCAAGGTTGGAAACCTAGGCTTGGGGTCCCAAATACCCTTATTAAGAACCATATTCAATGGTTTAGGGACCCAAACCCAAAGGTACAAACCCTAAGGGTACAAAGGAAAACTCCCTGATGAGATGTAGTTTTTCAAGCTGCCCACCTACCGCCCTGCTGGCAAGCTCTTGCTCAAACGCTGCTTCCCAGTTCAAGTTGCCAGTGTCGTAGGCATGGAAAGGCTTCCTGGGCTGCTGTTACGGAACTTTAATTAAGTTCCTGTAATAAGGAAACCCTATCATGTACACATACCCATCTTTTGGCAACTGAGTCCCTAAACCCTAGACGCTAGACCCTACATACCCATATTCTGGCAACCTGATTTAAGCTCCTCAACAGCAACCCAGCTTCTAGGGTAGGTTTGGGTCCCTACAAAAATTAATTGTTCATGGCTTTTACAGGGATTGACGGAAATAAACGTCAGAAAATATGCTCAAACCTACCCCCCAGCTTCTGGTAGTAGGATGGAAGCTCTTCTGAGCCGCCCTGCAGCCTTTGCCTCAACACGGCTAAGGAACTGAAAGAGATTTGAGGGTTTAGGGTTTAGGGGTTTAGGGTTTAGGGAAACCTGTCATTTTTCTATAGACCAATGTCGCTTACTATTGCTACAGACCCATCTTCCTTACTGCTGGTTTGTTGGGAAGAAGGGAATACAATCCCCATATACTCCCTATGTAATATGTTCCCTTATCCCCTACTAAACCCCAGTAAGATTGCGGCTACCTTCATGCAAATTTCTTGCCAACAATCAAGTCAAGTTGCAGTACAGAAGCGTCCCACGGACCCTGTTCACGGATATATTCCAGGGCAGAGACCCATCCAATGCCATTGGCCTCCGCAGTGTTCACCATGGTACGACGGGCCTGACATGGTCAAGGATGGTTAGGGTTGCGGATGTTCTTCGTTGCTTCATGTTTTTCTTGGTCATTGCTGATGATAATGCTGATGGCTTGGCACTCTTCTTCCTTTCGTTACACCCTAAACCCTAAACCCTACAACTCAGGGTATCACTGTTCTCTTGTTCTAAACCTTAAGCCACGCTGAGAATGGATGTCCAGCCCACACCTGCAAGGGCTGTGTTTGAAGGCTTGGGGTTGTCTAGGGTTTGGGGTTTAG